TCTGGCAAGAGATCACATCCAAAGACCTAGGTCTGGGTGATCTGGCTGGAATACAAACACACCTTTATTCCAGGAAAAAGAGGCAAGCAGATCTGAGTTCAAGGCCAGCATGGAATAGAGCAAGTTTCAGATAAAGAGCAGCTTAGGTCCCCAGGTGTGGTGGTACATGTCTCTAATCCTAAACACTGCAGGTAAAGTTAGTTTGTAGAAGGAAGCACCCGTTTGAAAGTGATTTCTAACTGAATGGCAAAAAAAGTGAAAAAAATCAGAGAAAGATTTGACACTTAACTCTCATGAGAACAGGGAGGAAAGGGAAGCTACTTAAGGGAGCAACACAGAGAATGAGAGAGAGGAGGCAGTTTTACCAAGAGAATTTTACAGAGTTTGAATGAGAGAACAAGCTAGACATAGGTTAAGACAAAATGAGTCAGAAGAGAATGAGAGAGGAGCCAGAAGATTAGAAAAGATTGCTGGAGTTAGTTTGAGACCAAGCAGAGCAATCCAAGAGAAAAGCCAGATTGAGTAAGTTAGCTGGGAGAGGAGCCAGAACAGCTGAGTTGAGCCCCGAGCTTAGTAAGAACAAGAAAGGGTGAGCTTATTAAGCGGTAAATCTCAGATGCTGAAACATTCTAAGCCTAGGTTAGACTGTATGGAGACTGGAAGCTTCCAAGACCAGGCCTAGGTTAGCGTAAGGAGACAGTTAATCCTCTGAGACAACAATTACCTCAGGAGAACAAACGATACCTTTACATTACTGATGAATCATTACAATTCTGAACCATGTTTCAGTGTGTAATCTAACCTGTGAGTCTTACAAATGGCAGTTTTCAAATTCTAGACTTAAGAAGAAATTTTTTTTTACCTGTAAATAGATATTTCTGGGCTAAGGATGCAGCTAACTAAGTTGGTAGAGTTTGCCAAGCATGTTTGAAAGCCTGTACTCAATCCTAGCACCAGTAAGAACCTAATATTCTCATCTCAAAGTTGAGGAGGTGGAAGCAAGCGGATCCTCAGGTACACAGCAAGGTCAAAGGCTTGAAAAAGAGAAACATTTTTACATATGAATTATTTCAAAGATAATATGATGCAAAGCAAAAAACTATAAATCCAACTACGCTTTTTTAAAATGAGTCTTTACATATGAGGCCAGTGAAGTTACAGCATCTTTCTGAAGTAATATCATTCTTGTTTTGAGATATTTGCGGTTATCTGTAATCATCCCGAGGCATGGCACACACACACACACAAAACAAACATCAAAACCAAAAATTTAACTTTTAAAATATGCTTCCCTATTGTGGTTGGGGCACACCTCTGTGGTAGACTGGGCACTTAGTGTATGCCAAGCTCTGGGGTTGATACCTAGCCCTAAAGAAAAGTGTACATGCGAGCACAGCATTTCACTTGATGTAAGACAATGCAGAGCCTAGAGGGAGCTGAACAAACAGGCCCGAAATGCAATTCAAAGACTGTATGTAGGGGCTGGAGAGATGGCTCAGCGGTTAAGAGGACTGGCTGTGCTACCAAAGGTCCTGAGTTCAATTCCCAGCAACCACACGGTGGTTCACAGCCATCTATGGTGAGATCTGGCGCCCTCTTCTGGGGAGCAGGAGTACATGTAATAAGCAAAACACTGTATACATACTAAATAAACAAAAATCTTAAAAAAAAAAAGACTATGTAAATCAACATCTTTTTGTTTTCTTTTTTTCATTTTTTGAGGCAGGGTTTCTCTATGTAACATTTCTGGCTATTCTGGAACTCACTGTGTAGACCAAGCTGGCCTTAACCTCACAAAGATCCACCTGCCTGTGCCTCCCAAGTGCTGGGATTAAAGGCGTGTGCCACCACTGCTCGGCTGTAAATCAACATTTTAAACAATGACTCAACATTTCTACCCAAAGTGCTTCTAGTCTTTGGGTAGAAGCCGTTATTCCAGGGAACCATAGCAAGGCCACATGGCTATTTAGGTCTAATGCTTAGACCTGGTAAAGGTTTGAAAGCAACTCTTTGGTATGAATGACAGCTAAACAGACAGACAGATAAATAAATAACTAAAATGCACAGCAACAATAACACAACACGGCCAGTTGTGGTGGCACACAATGGAAGGCTATCCTAAACAGGAGGTTCAAGTCTAGCCTGGGCTACACTCCATACACACACATACACACATATACCAGGAAGCAGCCAGATAAGGTGGTACAAGTCTTTAATACCTAGGATTCAGGAGGTGAGGCTAAAAAAATTACAAGTTTGAGGCTATCCTGGGCTACACAGTGAGACCCTGTTTTAAAATAACCCAAACTAAAACAACGTGCAAAGCTGCTTCTCATTCATATATGTACCAGAAATACTACTTCTCTGACATGAAGCAAGAGTAAAATGAATTATTCTTATTAAAAAAAACCTATACAGATAACTCAGGGGAAATGGCAAAATCAGAGTGCATAATTTCAAGTGAAACTTTAACAAAACGGGCGAGAAACCAACGAGCGCGTCTTTTTGTAGAGTGACAGACATAGGTCACTCCTGCCCACTGCCCTGCCTTATCAGAGGCAGAGGCACACTGGCCTGTGAGCCAAAGCAAACAGACTGCGCCCTCCTGCAACAATGCTATATGGAAGACGGAGCTCAGCCCATTCATTTACTTATGCTCTACTGATGCTTCCACACCACTGCGTGTGCCGAGCAGCTACAACATAATATATAAAACACCTGTCACCTTATTACAAAAAGGAAAAAGAAACTTTCTAGCCCAATTTGCTTAGTAGCACTTACTATTTAAAATCATTCTGTTTATTCATGTACTGTCTGACTTCACCAGAACCAACAATAAGTGAGGAGAGTGCCTTTGTTCTCAACTATACTCTTAGTAGCGCCTACAAGAGCATGTGACCCGCAGAAGGAACCCAACAAATGGAACCTGGAAACAACCCAGATGTCCCTCAGTTGAGGAATGGATACAGAAATTGTGGAACATTTACACAATTGAATACTACTCAGCAATTAACAACAAGGAAATAAAGAAATTTGAAGGCAAATGGTGGGAACTAGAAAAGATCATCCTGAGTGAGGTATTCCAGAAAGACACACATGGCATATACTCACTTATAAGTAGATATTAGACATATAATATAGGATAAACATACTAAAATCTGTACACCTAAAGAAGGTAAGCAAGAAGGAGGATGCTGGGTAAGATGATCAATCCTCATTCAGAAAGGCGAACTGGATAGACCTTGGAAGAGGGAGAAAACAGGGAACAGGACAGAAGCCTACCACAGAGGGCCTCTGAAAGACTCTACCCAGCAGGGTATCAAATGGCACTCGATAAGAGAAAGAAAGTAACAGGGTTTTCCACCTTGCCCACCAAACCACCCACCATCGGTCTCCAGGAACCACTGGACTTAGACTTTGAGAAGCCCAGTGATTAGCCCTCAGTCCTCACCTTACTTGACCTCCTGGCAGTAGATAACCCACTTGGACAAGGCCCTTCTCCCTGACATACTTTCTCTGAACACAGCACTCTTTCCATTACCTCCCACCACACTGGTTCTCAAGCCTCTGGAGCTGCAAGCTTATTTCCCCCACCTTTTAAGGTTGGCCTGCTTTCCTGCCCAGACACTGTCCTTTGTCTTAGTCCATGCTCTCTTCCTTGGTGAGTTAATCATTTAACGTCATGCTATTCTCAGCGACTTCAACCTTAAACCTTGTTCAAAACTATAACCAAGTTGATAACAACCAACCCCAATCTATACCCAAGCGATCACTAGACTCTGATGGCTCTTCTAAACACATTCCAGACAAACGGTCACGTCACTCCCACTCACATGGACTCAACCGTCTCTTGCTGAATACTGTGCCTTCCTTATTCTTCTCTCCACGGAGCAGCCAGGGGGATCAGGTTTGAAATGTAAATTAGTAACTTCAACAGCTGACTCTTTCCTACACAAAGTCATGAATAATTTGGTTCCCATTTGCACTTCCGCTCCCATCAAACAGGTCTCTATGACCAAGTGAAAACATGTCAGGCAAACTTACATCCCAGCTCTTTCATAATGGGCAAAAGGCACTTCTGGTTGACTTAAATGAATGAGGTTTCTTGAATAAGACAATTCATGTAATATTTGCTCACCTAAATCTCAAGGTCGAGGAGAAAAATATAACTTTTTCTGCTTTGCAGGTTTCAAATGTGAGATTTGAGATTACCTAGTAAACAAATGATGGAACTGGAATTCAAAAACTCAGATTACTCCTCACAGAACATGAGCTGTCCCTGAATTAATACTGGGGGAGGGGAGCATTCACTAATGGCCCACCGGATGGACAGTAATGGTCCACAGTGATTCTAAGTGGCTAAGGGTACGTCCTGGAAGTTAGGGAAGGTCATGAGAAACAGTCTGAGGAAGAGAACCAGAAGAGGAACATTATGGGTGCTAAGAATGTAAAGTTTCATGGAAAAGGGAAGCGTGTCAAATCGAAGCAACTTATACACTTCCAAGTCCAAGCTCCCAGCGCTTAACTCACACATGTAACAACACCGATCTTGGTTTAAAAAAACAAAACAAAAACACCGTACCTTTGCCTGGCAATGATACTGATGAGAAATATTCTATTAGCCATTGCCACCTGCCTGTGGTAAGGTGTGAAACATCAGGCACCCATCTTCATACCTAGTTTCTCCTCAGGACCAATTACACCAAGTTTGTGTGCAGTGAGAGCGGGACACTGGGATGGCTGGCTGGCCTTAAACTTCAGAAGGCAAAGGAAATAACCATTATCTTGCTTCTTATTCCCTCTGAACATTTGTGACTGCCAGTCCAGAAGGTCCCTGGGAGAGTGCTGAGGGGGCGGGGGAGAGGTGGGCACTGGCCTCACCCTCACTCTGGCAGCAACTTTCTGTCCCAGTGCTGACAGGCTCAGGCCCCGCGTCTCCCTCAAGCCCATCTCCCGGCCCCATCCCGGGACTGGCTTCGACGCCCCAAACCCCTCCTCACCACGGCTCCGGCCACGGCGTGGACCAGACTTTCGTAGGACAACACAGATGCCATGGTGCTACACTTTCCACTCAAGACTCTGCGGAGTGCGGACTCGCGAAAAGAGCGCCTCAAGCCCCGCCTCTCAGACCCGCCCGCCGCCACCAGAGCAACTACTTCCGGGTCACGGGCGGCCCCCCCCGTCACCCGAGAGCACAGCCGCAGACGTGGGTGTGGAGGGCTCAGGCACGTCCGTGAGCACCGATTGGTCGGGGCGGGCAAGGGGTGGGGCGAACCCAGGCGGACAGGGAAGATGCGCGCTCGGAGCGCCGCCCGCACGGTTCTGGCTGGTCAGTCTGTTTAGTTGCCCGCTTCCATGCCTAGCCATGCCTACTGACAAAAACGAGGGACAATAGGCCCTCAATGACCCGATTCCTTGCAGAATGTGTGTTGGCAGGCTAAGGACGTACCTCAGTTGTAAGAGTGCTTGCTTAGCATGATCCGCAGCACCCCACAAACACCTGTAATCACAGTACCCAGGAAGTGGGAAAAGGATCAGGGGATTGGAGAGATGGCTCAGTACTGCTCTTGCAGCGTAACCGTGTTTAAGTCCCAGCACCCACATGGTGGCAAGCAATGCTAACTCCAGTTCGAGGGGATCAGACCTCCACGGGCTCAGGAAAACACTCACTGAGGCATATACACAAGATTATTTTGTTAAAAGAATCATTAGCTTTGTGTCACCCTGGGCCTCAGACAGCTTGAGATTAGCCTGGGCTAGGAGACCGGTCTCAAAACAAAACACAATCGTCCACGCTCCATAGATTCGTGCCTAAACCTGTAATCTCAGTACCACGGATGCTGAGACAGACGCCAGCCTTAACCGTGTCAAAATAAAACCACCCCTCCGAGATAAGCTGATGGCCACAGATAAGGGGGTCGGTCAAGAGCTCCAACCTTCCTTCCTTCATCCATCCTGGGGATACGGAATCACGGCACTGAGGCATGGCAGACAAAAGCTCTAGCACAGGGCTTCGGTTTGCTTAAACTGACAATTTTGGGCTGTTTAGCTGGCTCAGCAGCTAAGAATGCTTGCTGTTCTTGAAGAGATCTGGGTCCCGTTCCGGGGACCCCACAGCCTAATGTCTTCTGAGGGCACTTACATAAATGCAAGCACTCACGCACGTAGAAAAACCTAAAAGGAAAGCCAGTACTTAACCCTTCTTCCATCGTGACACCATAAAGTCTCACAGACTTGCCCAAACTTTCAAAAATTGCTATTGCACGTTTTCCTCTTCAATCCCCGAGTTGTGCTCTTTCATTTATGCGGTGCATGTCAGTTCGGTGCGCTAATGAAGCTGTGGACTGCCAAACTCGGATGGGTACTTGTGAACACGGTCATCGGCAAGTTGTACTCTTACGCATTCGTTGTCCGTGTTGAATTCAACACCACACATAACTTCTCTTTGGTTTTTCAAGACGGGATTTCTCTGTGTAACCTTGGCTGTCCTGGACTTTGTCGACCAGACTGGCCTTGAACTCACAGAAATCCGCCTACATCCCCCTCCTGAGTGCTGGGACTAAAAGTGTGCCCACCGTGAACAGTTGCCAAGGTTTTCTTGTCCAATTGTTTGCTCATATATCCACAAAGCTGTAAGCTATGGACTTTGTCTTTCCTCATCGCTAATAAAACTGACCAGTGGGATATGAAAAGATAGCTGTTAACTGCACACATCATCAATGTCTCAACCTGTGTCCCTGACCACAACCCTGTTTCCTCAGGTGTTAAAAAGGTAACAGAAAAACTTTTCTGGACTCACATAAAAGTTACTTATTTCAGTATGGCAGAACTGCTAACCTCCAGAAAGTTACCTAGAGAAAGTAAACCTCCGAATTAATTTGGGTGTGGGTTGGGGCAGTTCTTGGGTTTTCTTCTGGAGTCTAGCTATGCAGTCCATACTGACCTCAAATTCGGACTACTCTACTCACCCTTCCAAGCATTGGGATTATTCATGTGAAATGAATATTCAGTTTTTGGGGTCTCTGTTAACATTTAGTAACCTGTACCTTACTGTAACCATCACATCAACACTTGAGATAAACACTGTGACAAAAAAACAAGGTAACAGACTAACAAATACGGGAAGGTCAAGATCCAGTTTGAAACGTTATTTTATTTTAGCATATTTGAATATTAACCATGTATCTTTAAGCAGAAAGCCCCTTTATCTTCTATTATTTTTCTTATATTATTTTTAGTGAAAAAAATATCCCAATATTTCTGGTGTAGAAATGATACTGAGTCTTTATGGAAAAAAATGAAGACTATTTTTTCTATCTGTGGAACTCAGAAATCTAAAAGCACAGGACGGTTTTCAGAAGAGCAATTTCACATAGTATTTTCAGTATTAGAATATAATTAGGGCATAATTAGGGTAGTAAGAGTCCAAAAGAAACTGATCTTCAGTGAAGCACAGCACATCAGGGAAATTTTATGAAAGAACACACTTAAACTAAAGAACATCGTGCAAAATTCAAGAATATGTGATGAATGTTTGTCAGTGACTGTAAATGCATGTTCTGTTCAAATACAGCTTTCCTTACATGTAACAAGATGCATCTCTGGCTGCTTTATGAGCAGTTAAAACCTGCATAGACATTATGTTCGAATCTAAACACACATTCTGTGGGTTTATTGTTTTCTTTATCCTTGCAGCAGAAGGAAAGAGAAAAACCAGGCATTAAATAATCACGGTATTTAAGAGCTAAATAGGGCAAATGAATCTTTCATCATATGTAAACAATTTATACTCTTCAAAATACAAAGATGTATACTTCAACATAAATTCTAAAATCGCAAGTTTCTCAATTTCACAAGCATATCCAAAAAGGGAATCCTTCCTTTTGATACAATAGGAGCTCACAAGAGTAAAACTTAAAGATTTAAGTAAGCAACCCCATAGCCAAGAAAGATAGCAGAGCTGTTACAGGTATAACCCTACAATTATCATATGTATTATATATGAAATTAAACTAGCAATACATATGCTTCCACAATTATGCTGTGAATGATAGAAGTGATGTTAGTGAGAAGACTCTCTAGCTCAAGATTTAGCGGACAAGCAGACAGGGATATATTTTGATAGCAAAGGTAACTTCTGACAGAAACACAGAAATTACTCTTTTTCCTCTATGTGTGAATGATATGGAACATTTATTTGAAACAGTGGACAACAGCAGAGCTAGGTAATCTAACTCCACTGTAACACTTAAAAAATAAATCGCCCCACAGCACAGTTTAAGATTTAAATGCAGCCTACACAAGGTCAAACAAAATCTAGGACTTGCTGCTGCTCTGCCCAACACTTCAGTGCTACCCAGGTCAGATCCAAATACTGGTGGTCCCAAGAGATTCACTGAAATAGATCATTTTGAAATAAAACATTAAAAAAGACAAATCAAGATGCTTTAGTAACCATATGTCCAACTCCATCAACTTAAATGTGTTTTATTTGCTTCCCACTAACAAATCTTTATTTCAATCATGAGAGCATGAGTCATCCACATTTAGCTTCCTTGCCCCGTAATTCAAAGGAAAAAACCAAAAAGATTAGCAAAGAAAAATGTTACGAATTGACACCCCCTACATTTTTAAAAAATATGTTTAAGGTTGAAAAATGTTTTAAGTTTGTAATTCCTAATAGGAAAACATTATCTGCATGAACGCCCTAATGGCAAACCTCAGTGAAATGCTTCAGCCACATTTGATGCAGAAGGGTAGGGATTATCTTCCAAGCGCCCAGCTCTCTCGGTAAGGTCAGAGGTACACTGGTTTGTATTATTGCAACATCCAGTAAGTGAGCTAAGCTGCTCTTCATTCAGCAAGGGCTTTGTTTGACATTATGCTTGACCTCCAAACTTGGCTGACAATTTACTGATGAGATTCATAACCTTTGGATTGCTCTGATATTTTGACATATTAGCTGGGTTCTGGGCCACATCCTGGAAAGCCACCATGACTTCTGGATCCTGAAGGAAAAAAAAAAAAAGATGATGGAGGTTTAAATTTTTAGTTATGTCTGGGTTTTGTAACTGACTTAAAGTGCCCAATGGCAAACCACTGTAAAATGTTTCAGCCACACTGATATACAAGGGCCAGGATTATCTTGAAGCACTTCAGCTCATCAAACTAATTCTGTAACTTGAACTAAAAATAATGAAAACGAAAGCACATACAACATGGATAAAAAAGAAACATGAACTACTGTTCCCTAAACTGAAATTTTAAAAACTTAACTTTTAAGCTGGGGCTCAACAGTTAAAAGAGTCCTAGCTGCTCTCAGTTGGCTTCCAAACACTTACACCAGGCAACAGGCAGCTCACAGCCAACAGTCTGGGACTCCAGCTCTAGGGTATCTGGTAGCATATACTGATACCCACACACACTTCATATACATAAACACAAGCACATATATTTATACACAAAAATGAAATGGAGGTCAGATGGTCCAGTGTGTAAAAGCGCTGGTTGTTCCTGCAAAGGAGCTGGCTTGTGCTCCCAGTACACATATAACTTAAAACTATTTGTAACTTCAGTGATGGCCTCTGCTGACCTCCAAGGGTATTGCAGGTATGTCATGCCCAGACATATATACAAATAAATGTTCTAGACGAAAACTAAAAATAAATAAATCTTTAAAAAAACTAATCTCAATTTAGAAAGAAAATGCCCCCCTGCGAAATTAGCTACTTGATAACTGAGGGAAAACAGTGAAGTGTGCTATCATCACACAGAAGTAGAAAAAGAAATGCCTGCTGAGCCTAACTTTGTTCTCCCGAATCTTACCTGCATGGCTGCAAGAACCTCTGGATCACTGAGGATTTCATTGAGTCCAGGCATTCCTGCCATTCCGGGCATGCCCCCTCCCATTCCAGGCATTCCTCCAGGAAAATTACCAGGCATTCCCCCAGGAAAACCACCTACAAGAATAATGAAATAATTATGGACGCAAACAAGTTATTATTAACCAACTCCAATGCTCAAGTGCACACACAAGAAAAAAAGGACAATATTCGGCAGTCTGTACAGTCTATCAAGCACAATTTCTAGCTTTTCCCAACAGCAAAGCTTTAAATCAGACTATTACTTTCTGGATTTTTTTTTTTTTTAATTTCTTAGAATTGCTCAACAAAATTAATCTTGCCTAAAAAATAAAAAAATCACCAGGAGTGGTAGTGCACATCTTTAATCCCAGCACTCAGGAGGCAGAGTCAGGAGGATCTCCTGTAAGTTCAAGGCCAGGCTAGCCTACAAAACCAGTTCAAGGGCAGCCAATGCTGTCCCAAAAAACAAACAATATAAACAAAGAAAAAAATGAGAGAATATGTGGTGATCCTCCCAAAACATGAATGCCAGGCATGTCAACACTGTTTTTCTCTTTTAGGGAGGGAGGGAGGAGTGAGATGTTTGAATGGAGTGCCTGCCCTGGACAGCACTGTTACGTGCATAGCTAGCAGTATTATGCACAGCCCACGCTGGCCTGGAACTCTTGGCTTCCTGCCTCAGCACCCTCAATGCTCCGATGGCAGGTGTGCATCCCAGGCTGGCCCAATCCTCTTTCAATTTCTCATTCTTCAATATTATTTGTTTCAATTTAAAGTTAACTTCTATCAGCCTATGCTTGTTTTAAGACATTTTGACATTTACCTAGAATAATCTCACTTCAAGTCTTACCTAAAATAGGGATTACAAAAATTTATTGATTGATTTCTTTCTCTTTTTAGTTTGTTGAGATACTCTTATAGAGCCTGAGCTGGCTCAAAACTTGCTCCATTTTGCCAGTTTAGAAATCCTGAGCCTCCTGCCTCCACCTCCTAAGGTCTGTGTCCTTAGGAGGGTTATTATTGCTGTGATGAAACACCCTAACCAACAGCAAGCTGGGGAGGAAAGGGTTTATTTGGCTTACACTACATATCACTGTTTATCATCAAAGGAAGTCAGGACAGGAACTCAAACAGAGCAGGAGCCCAGAAACAGGAGCTAATGCAGAGGCCATGGAAAGGTGCTGCTTACCAGACTGCTCCCAATGGATTGCTCAGCCTGCTTTCTTATAGAACCCAGGACCACTACACCTGGGACCCACAGCGAGCAGAGCCCTCCCCTATGAAATCACTAACTGAGAAAATGCCTTACAGCTGGAGCATATGGACGCGTTTTCTCAATTGAGGATCCTTCCTTTCAGATGATTCCAGCTTGTGTCAAGTTGACATAAAACTAGCCAGAGCAGTCTGAGATAAGGAAGCAGTGTGCTTCACCAGGCCAGGTGAATCTATGTGTTTACGAGTCCCATTCTAAACAATTAAAATCCTTAAGTGATAATATACTATATATATAGTATATACACATATGTATACATGTGTATATATACACATATGTATGTGTATATACATATATGTATATACATACATACATACATACATACACATATATATGTATATACACACATATATATGTATATTTATATAAAACCATTGGGGTTTTGTTCTGTTTGGCTGAGATCTCACCTAGCCTGAAATTCATGGCAGTCCTTCTCAGGGAGGCAGACACAGGCAGATCTCTGTGAGTTTGAGGCTACCCTGGTCTACAAAGTAAATACAGGACAGCCAGGGCTCTATTATACAGAGAAAAGTGTATTATAATTCAAGCTATAAAAGGGAAGTAATGCGGGCTGGAGCGATGGCTCAGCGGTTAAGAGCACTGACTGTTCTTCCTAAAGGACCCAGGTTCAATTCCCAGCACCCACATGGCAGCTCACAACTGCCAGTAACTCCAGGATCTGACACTCACACAGACATGCAGGCAACACACCAGTGCACAAAGAAAAAATATATATAAATATTTTTTTAAAAAAGGGAAATAATGGCTCAGACTGTAGTTCAGAATTAAAAAAAAGAGCATTAAGAAATATAAAAAAAAAATGAAAAGGAAAAATAATGCTGTTTTTCTGTAACAAAAGAAGAAGAAAATGAACTTCACAAACATTAAAATTCTTTGGAGTTTCAGGATTGTCTCTGTCTCCCCATATACATACACACCCTTGAGCTCCCATTTGGGATATGTCTTAATCATTTATGCCACTAACAGGTCTTCCTTTAAAAATACCTGGGAAAGAGCCATACTGAGCTCCAGATTGTCTTCTGGCTTCTTCTTCCTTGAAGACAAAATGAAAACAAACTATGTAAGAGGAGAAGAGAAACAACAAAAAGAAAGCTTTCTTCCCATACCTAACTTGTCCACAGAAATCCACAAAGTCAAAATGAAAAATTAAGAAAGAAGACAGTAAGAATAATAAGGTCCAAGATTAACTCACGTCCCATCAAAATCCAGGTCCACCTGCCACTGAGCACTATTGACTAATGATTTCTAGCAGTTTTACTTCTCTGGAAGCTAAAGCACAAAGCAATTTATAGTATTTATATGCTTATACTTATAGGAGTTATGAATTCTCACTATAAACTCAACATGATAAGGGCATGGCTAAAGTATTTCCTAGGTTTAGCTCTTCCACATTCTCCCAGGAAAGTGTAAAATAACACAGGCTTCCTGAGCTGTTTTAAAGACCAAGGAAAAGCTAACTGGAACTTTCCTTCACATCCAGTTAGAAACAATCATCAAGATGGACTGTATTCCAGTGGTACAGCACTTGTCTACCATGTGTGAGGCACCAACTCAATCCCCAGGATATGAAGGGGAGGAAACCAATTAACTACATGCATATATGTATATTTTGTATAAACTGTACTATGACAAATATATATGCATATATACTTATTAAATGACCCTCAAATTAAGATTTACAATTACAGAGCTATATGTCCTTTCTTTTAACAATGTTGGAAACAAGTAGGTTACAACTGATAGAACCAATTGTTGTATAACAGTTTCCTCCAAAATTTTAACAGTCCATCCCTACAGTGGAGCTGTTTAAACAAAAAGGTAAAAAAAAAACTCAAAATAGCTTTAGAAGTCCCTGAAAGTAACCAGATTCAATAGGTCCTCTCTCTCCCAAGAGTAAAAAACTCAGGCTAACGAGAGTTACTCAGAGCAAAGCTAAGCCAAGTCACAAAGACTTTTTTTTTTTTTTTTAAAGATTTATTTATTTACAACATTCTGCCTGTATATCACATCTTACTAATAGATGGTTGTGAGCCACCATGTGGTTGCTGGGAACTGAACTCAGGACCTTTGGAAGAACAGCAAGTATTCTTAACCTCTGAGCTATCACGCCAGCCCCACAAAGACTCTTGAGACCAGTATAGCTACCTGGAAGAGATCATTTGGAAAGGTCACTACTCTGTAACCTGTTGAGCTGCCTGCAGGCTGTGCGGTTGTACTTCAGGTTCTCAGCTTTTGTGAGCTGTCACATATGCTGGGGTGGGCTTTGGTGATGCAGCTATCTTTGAGTCATTTTTTCTCCTGCAAATAACCTCTCCGCATATTCTTGTAACTCCAATAAAACTCATGCTTCACCAAGCTGGATTTTATAGCCATACTGTCTGTCATGGCTCCCTAACTGGGGTGATACAATGTGCGCAGGGTCTCCCCAAGAATAGCCTTGCCATACAGCACTAACACACCAAGCTACATGGGCATGAGCAAACTAGGGAAAAGAAGGACAGTATCAACAATTCTAGGACAAACTATTAAAAATCTCTTTCTACATTTCTGCAATACAACTGTAGAATTTTCCCCTTGAGACAAGACTAAGTATCCAATGCTGTCGTGAAGCAGAAAGTCCTTCCTCTCCTCCCCCTTTGGCCTCATGAATGCCAGGATTAGAGAAATATCCACAATGTACAGCTACAATTATTTTTAAGAAGCATGAAAACACTGTTGAAAAGAAAAAAACATCAAACACACACAGGGGAAGAATTCTATGGGAAGAGACTAGTACCCACACAAAGCAGCAGAACTACTGGATTTTAATTAACCTGGCCAAAAAATTTTGGTTTGTCCTGCTGGGAAATTGCTCTGTAAGTCATACTCTTGGCCCAAGTTTGCAATTTTAAAAGAACAAATAAATGTTAATTAGTGAAATACAAGCTCACTTAAGACTAAAAAGAAAGGATAGAATGAAAGGAAGAAAGACTCCTTTCAAAGAGTATCACCCCACACACTGCAGCCATACGCAAGGAACAGTATCCTAAGTCGACTCCAATGGCTGAGCTATAGGAATTTACCCTTTGGGCTCTCTCATGCTCTTCTCGAGCCTTTTTCACCCTTTCTATTCTTTCTTTTATCTCTCGCTCTTCACGTTTTCGCTCATACTTTCTTCGATGTTCAGCAATTTTTTGAGCCTGGAAAAAAGAACCATAAGAAATAAGTTTGCCCAAAATGTTTGATCAAGTCAAGTGAAGTTTGGAAGAGTTATGTCTTCAGAGCCTGTGTGGTGGTACACTCCTTTAGCACTTGGGAAGCGGAGGCACGTGGATCTCTGAATTCCAGGCCAGTCTGATCTACAAAGTGAGTCCAGGACAGCCAGGGCTACACAGAGAAACCCTGCCTCAAAAACCAACCAAACAAAAAGAGTTACTTCTTCTAATAGTGATTTAATATATATAGCTCTAAGAAATGACAGATTCATCATAACAGAAAAAAAAACCCTAACTCATGGAAGCTGGAGGGAGAGACTAAGAAGGTCCCACCCCACCCTGAGGGGCAACAGGCAACTGATAGTTGATGGTGGTGGAAGAAACATTTTTTTTTAGTTGTACACTGGTAAGGTGCCTGTGCTCCTGTAAATAACCTCATCCATGATATCAAAAAATTTCTAAAAAAACTCAATGGATTAAGAAAACACACACAGGAGCATGCTAGAAGGAAAAGGGTAATGGGAAGCAAGAATGACTAAAACACATTATATACATGTAAATGAGAATCCTTATTACATGTGATTCACATAAATGAATGGACTCATTAAAAAATTAATATAAAGCGAAGCTCCAAGAACAATGTCAAGTGCATTAGACACTATGAAACAAGAAGAGCCTAGGACATACAGTTGAAAAGAAATCTTCTAATCTCAAACAGATGCCAAAGCTCAAGAATAAATACATTTCAAATGTTAGGACAATTCTTGCTTGATGGCCTCCACCCACTACACAGTACTTATGATTCACAAATCAGTTCAGCAGAAAAGCTATATCATCAAAGACAGCTGCCACACAAAGGCGGATACTCCATACACATATCAAGTATTTATGCAGTCTGAAGTGGGGGACATCTATGAAGTGAGGGACAACGGAGTGTTGGAGAGCTCAATGGTTAAGAACACTCACTGCTCTTGCACAAGCCCTGAGTCTGATTTTTAGTACCCAGTTCCAGATGATTCAATGTCCCCTTCTGTCCCTTGTGGGCATCGCAGGAACATGGTAACCAGATATACATGCAACAAAAAACCCATATACATAAAATAATTTCTTAAAAAGTGTGGGACAAGGCCAGATAGTTTTGTGTTTAAGTACATGATTAACATACACAAAGCCCTGATTTTGACCCTGCAGAATCACCCAAAAAGTGGTAGAAGGCACAAAAATAGTCCTTTCAAATTGCTTTGGAGATGACAGTTGATATTCAAATGTTACACTAGTGTCTGCACAAATATGTTTTGAACTTTATACTCTAGAATATGTTCAACAACTAGTTTGCTGTTTCCTGTGATTAAAAAAAGGGGGGGGAGCACCTGAGATGGCTTAGAGTTACAAAATACTGCTACAAAATATTGGTGTCTTCAGTTTAACCCCTAGAACCTAATGGAGGAGAAAAATGACTTTTTCAGTCTCTACACACACCACCTTACACATCATATACACACAAACACCAATAATAAATAAAAGATAAAAAGCTCCATTAGTCAAATTAAGTCTGATAATTAAATTCAATTAAATCTCTATATTAAAACATTTAAGGAGCCAGGCATAGAGGTGCATACCTTTAATCCCAGCACTTGGAAGGCAGAGGCAAATGAATCTCTGTGAGTTCAAGTCCAGCCCGGTCTAAGACAGGCAGGGCTTATTACAAAAAGAAACCCTATCTCAAAATTTAAAAGAAAAGAAAAAAAAAAAATTGAGAGCTGGAGAGATGGCTCAGAGGTTAAAAGTACTGCTACTCTTCCAGAGGTCCTGAGTTCAATTCCCAGCAACCACATGGTGGCTCACAACCATCTGTAATGAAATTTAATTCCCTCTTCTGATGTGTGTGAAAACAGAGCATTCATATACATAAAAATAATAAATCTCAAAAAAATTTAAGGATAAATACACTGATAGGCAATTTCTATCTTTCTCACTCAGTCACTCTTTTGAATAGGGATTGAATCTGGGACTTTCTAAATGCTACATAAGCACTCCACCACTGAGTTATTTTTATCCCCAGTCCATAGTTCTAAATTAAAAAAAAAAAAGACTTGTAGCTGGGTGTAGTGACAGAGGCTTTTAATCCCAGGACTGGGAGAAGGGCCGGCAGATCTCTGAGTTTGAGGGCAGCCTGGTTTACAAAGTGAGTTTCAGGACAACCAGGGATACACAGAGAAAGCCTGTCTTGAAAAAAAGTTGAAGTTAAGCTTAGAAAGCCTTTCTCCTTTGTACACATCACACCTATTACTGAAGGCTTGCAGGAAAGTCATACAGGGGAGCTGGAGAGATGACTCAGCCGTTAAGAGCACTGGCTGCTCTTCCAGAGGTCCTGAGTTCAATTCCCAGCACCCACATGGTGACTCACAACCATCTATAATGTGTGACCTGATGTCCTCTCTTCTGGTGTGCAGGTGTACATGCAGACAATGCATTTGTATACATAAAATAAATGGATAAATCTTAAAAAATAAAAGGTCAGACAGCCTGTTCTCTAACACAGCATCCAAAAGAAGCATGACAGACTAATAAGGCTTCCAAGCAGAGCTTACCATTAATGATTTAACTTCTACATGCTCCTTCACCTGTTTTTCAGGAGATTATGAGCTTCCAGACAAGCAAAGCCATAGAGCTGTGAAGATTGAATGACATACCCGAGGTTGAACTTCTTTGAGCACTGCACTAGCATCCTCGTCATAATCCAGTTTACAGGCAAGAGCAAGATCATGAGCTGCTTCTTCCCAGTGGCCCAGGAGTCTGAAATAGATGGAAATTCGCTTACAAAATGTATAAATCAGGGAACTCTTCAGCTAAATTTTTTTTAATATTCTTTTTTTTTTTTTAGTTTCTTTTAGGTATATGAATGCTCTATCTGCACGTACACTGGCATTCTAGAAGCGGGCATCAAATCACACTATAGATGGTTGTGGGAGCTGGAGAGACGGCTCAGAGGTTAAGAGCACTGGCTGCTCTTCCAAAGGTCCCGAGTTCAATTCCCAGCAACCACATGGTAGCTCACAACCATCCCTAGTGAGATCTGGGGCTCTCTTCTGGAGTGTAGGCATACATCCAGGCAGAGTACTGTATAAATAATAAATAAAATATATCTTTAAAAAAAATAAAAAATAAATAAAAAATAAAATAGATGGTTGTGAATCACCACGTGGTTGCTAGGAATTGAACTCAGGATCTCTGGAAGAGCAGACAGTGCTCTTAACAACTGAGCCATTTCCCCAGCCCCTTCAGTTAATTTTTAACTATAAAATTTTTTTCAACCAAGATAAAAGCTGTCACAGAGCACAACCCGAATCCCAGCACTTGAAAGGAAGAGGCGGGCAGATCTTTGTGAGGCCAGACTGGTCTAAAAAGCAAATTCTAGAACAGCTAGGGCTATACAGACACTCTGTCTTGAAACCCTCTTCCAGCCCCCAAAGGAAAAAAAAGAAAGAAAATGGGGTGGAGAACTTATATACCATGACATGAAATACTGTCGTTTATTACAAGAATAATGTAATAAAAAATGGTAAGGCAAACCCTAAACCCAAATATAAACAATGAGATTATCATACATTTACAACACACACAAACTGAAATTATCTTTCTAAATATATTGTTTTAGTCACATATTTTAAATGGAGTATGTTCTTAAGGACAATCGTAACAGGCAAGAAAATCTTCATAGTTTACTTGGAGAGTATGCTGTGTTAAGGTATTAACTACCAAACACTGTTACTTATATGGTAGGCTTAAAAAATTAGGAACAAAGATTGAGAAGATAAACATTTTTAAATTGAAAATCTCAGCATAAATGTAACTTTAAATTTTTCATTTAAATCATGAACTTAGACATTTTTTCTTATCTAAGTTTATTGAAGTGACAGTAAAGACAGTAACAATAACAGCAGGTGGACACACAAATTTTAGTGTCCACAAAAATGAACTACGGTTTCTTTAAAAAATGGCTTATCTTGGGGCTGGAGAGATGGCTCAGTGGTTAAGAGCACTGTCTGCTCTTCCAAACAACCTGGGTTCAATTCCGAGCGCCCACATGCAGCTCACAATTGTCTGTAACACAAATTCCAAGGGATCTGATACCTTCACACTAATACACATAAAATAAAAAATTTAAAAAAAAAGGTTTATCTTAAATCTATAAACAGCCAGGTACAAGCCCATGCTCATATCAGAGAACAAGACACCATCTGAGGACTAGTGACTGACTTCAAAGAAACCAACAGTAATGTGTAAGCTTTTCCTACACCCATGCAGCATTAATAAATTTTATTTCAACCTTTTTACCTTTCTCTGACATGCCTTCAGAAAAATCACTACTGTGAGTAATTTAATACAGCTGTGTAAAGAATATTCTTTTTTTATGAAAATTTTTCTTTATTATTATTATTATTTATTACAATTTATTCACTTTGTATCCCGGATGTACCCCTCCCTCTCATCTCCTCCTATTCCTCTTTCTTTCCCTCTTATGCCCTTTCCCTAGTCCACTGATAGGGGAGGTCCTCCTCCCCTACGAGCTGACCCTAGCCTATCAGGTCTCATCAGGACTGTCTGGATCCTCTTTCTTTGTGGCCTAGTAAGACCTCATCGAGAACATCCATTCTTATCTCTACTCACACTTGGCCATATCAGCATCTCCATCTACCTCAGAGTCACTGGACTTTTTGAAAAGTCCCAGTAACGAATACAAAGGTTTCAAGCTAGGGTATTCAATATGTGTCCATTATCTCTTCTTGGATTCTTGAGGTAAAATAAAACCATCTTGTCTTATACGTGCCTATGTGATTCAATTCTGCTGAGCGATTTTAAGCAGAAGGAGTAAAATCTAATTCTTCATACTGAACACATTATGTTGAAATAAAAGCACTTAGGCAAAATGTGAGCAAAGCATGTAAAATTATATTTAAATTAAGTTTTAAAAAGCTTACTTTGTGCCTGTGTGTAAGTGTTATACACAGTCTCAAATGTCATTTCTCAGGTGCAGTCCACTTCTGTTTCTAGATGCTGGCCTCTAACTTTCCAGGAGGCAAGCCCCAGATATTTACTGACCTGTTTCCAGCCTCCATAACACCACACTCAGCCTTTGTTTGTCCATTTGGTTGGTTGGTTGGTTGGTTTTTATTTCTGAGACAGTGTTGGTATAATGTTCTTTTGAAATGTATGCACCTTACCCTTGTTCATTCAAATGCTGATTCCCCCCCCCCCATTCTCTGGTTTCAATTGGATATTGCATTGTGATACTTATTCTAAGCATCCTGTCTCAACTGTGTGTAAACAGGCCAAAATAAAACAACTAGCCACAATGTTGTGCAAAGAAAGGAGCCAGAGGACAGGAAAGAGGGGAGGAGCTAGAGGGCAGGAAATGAGTGTGAGGAGAAAGGGAAAGAGGAGAGAGCTAGGAAAACAGAGCTGGAGGACAGATCTTAGAACGACATGGAGAGATGGACTGGACCTAATATATCACTAAAAGCAAGTATAATGTGGGAAATCTAAATGTTAGGAAACTAAGAGGCCTTGGAGGTTTAGCAGGGAGTAACTATTGCCCAGCATTGTGTTCTAGGTTAACTAAATAAACCCAGTCTCTGTGTGGTGATTTGGTTATGGCTGTTTAGGATTAATAACAGCTTTACCAGAAGATATATTAATAGTAAATATTATTCGCCATACCTACAACAAGACAGGGATTCTCTGTGTAGCCCTGGTTATCCTGGAACTCAGTCTGTAAACCAGGCTGGGCTCAAATTCAGAGATCAGCCTCCCTGCTTCCCCAGTGCTGCTGGGATTAAAGGCATGCACCACCATGCCCAGCTTTTTAGAACGTGGATTCTATGGGTCAAACTCAGTTCTCTGAGCACCTTACTGGCTGAGCCATTTCCCCAGCATTATTTACTTATTTACCTGTGTGCTTTCCCTCGCCATTTGTATGGCTGAGCCGAATCAGGATTTATTTCAATGGCTCTGTCACAGTCTCGGATGGCAGCATTTGGCTTCTGTAATTTGACGAAGACACTATAAGACAAAGGTAGCATTAAAAAAAACTATCAAAGAGATACCGTCTCAAAAAAAAAAAAAAAAAAAAGAAAGAAAAAGAAAAGAAAAACTTCATTTCAAACAATAAAACCTTTCAGAGTCCTACAAAATCAAAATTATTAAAAAAAAAAAAAAAGTAAAAGAAGTCCACAAAAGGTACTTTGTACTTAAGTGTTCTTATTCTTACCTGGCTCTCTTGGCATACAGAATAGCCAAACGAGGATTTAGTTTGATGGCGTCTGTGAACAAGTCAATGGCTTTCTGCAGCTCACCTGAAATGAAATAAAACTTACTAAGAAATGTCCGGAAGACAGAAATATTAATAAAATATTTTGGCTTCTTTTCTAATTAAGAATTATATACTCTTTCTTGATCTATTTTTTAAAAAAGAGAAAAGACCCCAGGTGTGGTGGCAAATGTCTTTCATCCCAGCACTCAGGAAGGCAGAGGCAGGAGTATTGCTGGAAGTTTGAGGCCAGCCTGGTGTACAAAACAAGCCCAGGATAGCCAAGGCTACACAGAAAAACCCTGTCTTGGAAAAAAACAAAGAGAGAAAGAGAAAAAATTGGTATTAGAGGGGAGATATGGCTTAGGGGCACCTCTTCCCAACAAGCACTGTCAGTAACTAGTACCATTTTCAAATCAGGGACTGGAGACAGACACCTTAGTGGTTAGAACACTGCTATTCCAGAAGACGCAGGTCCAATGTCCAGTACCCACACATGGGCTCACAACTAACCACCTACAGCCCAAGTCCCTGAAGATCAAACGCCTTCTTCAGGCCTCCACGGCACTAAGCACACCAGTCAGCAAAGCACCCATTCCCATAAGGTAATAAAAATAATTTAAAAAATATTTAGAAGAAGAAGAAAAAGACAAAACAAGATTGTGCATATTTGTAAACTCCAGCACCCATGAAGCAGAAGTCAGCGGACTGCAAATTGGAGACAAGCCTAGGCTACATACACAACTGGTCCCGGGAAATCTAGAAATATAGGGACACTGCTTAAAAAAAAAAAAAACAAAGACCCACACAGTAGGAGAGAACAAACTTCTAAAAGTGGTCCTCTGAGCTCTACACATGTACTCGGTATGTGTAACCCATCCCCAAGCAAAAACTAAATAAAAGGGGAGTGCAACAACAGCTAAGAAACTTACTGCTCTTGCAGAGGACCGTGGCTTATAACTGTTTATAACTTCAATTCCAGGGGATCTGATGTCCTATTCTGACCTCCAAGGGCACCAGACACACATGTAGTATACATACATGCATGCAGACAAAAACACTCACACCTATAACCAGGCAGTGGTGGCACACAACTTTAACCCCAGCACTCGAGAGACAGAGGCAGGTGCATCAATGTAAGTTTGAGGACAGCCTGGGCTACAAAGCATGTCTAGGATAGCCAGGGCTACAGAAAACCCTGTCTCAGGGTGCAGAAGAAAACAAAAACAAAACAAAACAAAAACCCACAAACATTACGGTAAAGTAAAAACTAGCACATTAGTTTTATGGCATTCATTTTAATTTTAATTTTACTTGCTAGAAGGATAGATTAAGCTTAATGAGGATAAAGTGTCCAAACTAATTTCACAGAATTGATAACAAGAATTTTCTCTTTATGAGAAACACCGTTTGAATGCACAAAAATAGAGCCATTTAAGCCATTAAGACATTGATCCTTATTCACTGTTACCATTACATAGCTCTTTGTGTGTTTGTATAAATGTATGTGAACATATTGGGGCATGCCCACGAAGGCAGGAAGATGGCATTGGATTCTTTAGAGCTGTACTTATGGGCATTTGTAAGCCATCCAACACAGGTGTTAGGATGCTAATTCCACTCTTAACCACTTAGCCATCTCTCCAGCCCAACATCCTTGGCTTTTTGCATAAAGAATTACGTTCACACCTGCCACAGACGGCCTCTGAAAGCCTCTGCCCTGCAGACTATCAAAGCAGATGCTGAGCCTGATGGCCAACTGTCCGGCAGAGTGAATGGAATTTTATGTAAGAAGTGGGAAATAGCAAGAGCTGGAGAGGACAGGAACTCCACAAGGAGAGCAACAGAACAAGAAAATTTGAATACAGGGAACTTCCCAGAGACTCATACTCCAACCAAGGACTATTCATGGAGATAACCTAGAACCCCTGCACAGACGTAGCCCATGGCAGTTCAGTGTCCAAGTGGGTTACCTAGTAATGGGAAGAGGGACTGCCTCTGACATGAACTGATTGGCCTGCTCTTTGATCACCTCCCCCTGAGGGGGGAGCAGCCTTACCAGGCCACAGAAGATGACAATGCAGCCACTCCTGATGAGACCTGATAGTCTAAGATCAGAAAGAAGGAGAGGGGGACCTCCCCTATCAGTGGACTTGGGGAGGGGTATGCATGCAGAAAGGGGAGGAAGGGGGGATCGGGAGGGGAGGAGGAAGGGGCTTATGGGGGGATACAAAATTAGTAAAGTGTAATTAATAATAATAACCAAAAAAATTACGTTCACTTATTCTTATTTACTTGTGCGTGCATGTATCAGGACTGATGACCTGAACCCACAGAGTTGAAAAAAGCCCATTTATTCAAATTGTTTTCTGACCTCTGTTAGTGTGCTCTCCCCCTTCACCAATAAATTTTTAAAAAAACCTCCCGTATACTAGTTGTGTAGACTTCCAACCTGGGGCCCAGAGAGAGTGTTAGCCACCCCATTCCTTTGCTGTGCCAGTACTTTATTGGTAGCATTGCTCCTGAAGTGCTGGAGGTCTCTACTGCCTATGTCTAAGCCACCGTTTTAGCCCTTCTTCATTCATTTTGTCACTTGCTTTTACAGATTGTCTTTCTTACAGTCTTAGCAAGATTTAACAACAATTATGCCATTTAACAGTTTTGTTTTCCTGTTTCCAGACCAGTTGTCAGTCCATGTGCATGTGTAAATTTCACCTAGTTCTGATAATAAAATTTGCGTGATTTTGTATGTCTGAGTAGATCAAAGATAACATTCTAAATCAGGTATTGCGAATATCACTTTAGCTTGGAAAAGCAGGTAATTAAGCACTTGAGGACACATACAGGTGCCTTACTCTGGATCCAGTTGTGACATCTAACAATGCTAGCTTTTCACTATAGTAGCAACTTGGGCTGAGTGTAAAATCTAAAAAGCATATAGTAATGACTGTTTCCAGAAAATAGCTTGCCAACATCTGACTTAGATAAATGGAAAAACAGTTTATTTGTTCAGGGAGATGGAGATGGAGAATAGATTTGGATATGGCGTGGGAATTAACTGTTGATCTTGATGCTTGGAACGGTAGAGCTTTTATGTGTGACTGTGTAATGGTACTGAAGGAAAATTTTAGTTTTAGGTTGTTTTCTTTTTAAAGATTTATTTATTTATTTTATGTATATGAGTGACAGAAGAGGGCACCAGATCACTTTATAAATGGTTGTGAGCTACCAGGTGGTTGTTGGGAATTGAATTCAGGACCTCTGGAAGAGCAGACAGTACTCAACCACTGGGCCATCTCTCCAGACCGAAAATTTTAGTTTTCATCATCGTAAACTTTGTTACCAGAAAGAATTACCTGTAACATATATATGTAGTAGTGATAAGGTGCTTCTGGATTGTTTTGTTTTGTTTTTGTTTTTTGTTTTTTTTTTTTTTGAGACAGGGTCTCAGTGTGTAGTCCTGGCTATCCTAGAACCCATTATGTAGACCAGGTTGGCCTTGAATTTGCAAAAATCGATCTGGCTAAGTACTGGGACTCTTAAAGCTGTGTGCCACCCACCCCTTCTGGCACTCATAAGACTTTTTTTTGTGTGTGTTTTGTTTTGTGAATGCTGTTGAAATCCCGTAATTACTAATTGGGTAAATATTTTTCTCAACAAAATTTGACATTTGTTTTAAAATTATGTAGTTGTCATACTACTGAGACTAAAACTGCACCATACAAAGAACTTTTTAAAAAACTGTTTTGTTGTTGTTGTTGAATAGCTTCTCTTAAAGGACTAGTTTAAGAAAACAGAAAACAGAAGCTTTTGGGCCAGCAAGATAGCTTTGAGGTAAAAGTGCTTGCTACCAGCCTGACAGTTTGAGTTTAATTCTTGGGACTCATGTGAGGTAAGGAGATAAACTTCTGAAAGTTGTCCTGATACATGCATGCACAAATAAATAAGAATAAATGAACGTAATTCTTTATGTAAAAAGCCAAGAATGTTGGGCTGGAGAGATGGCTAAGTGGTTAAGAGTGCTTGCCGTCCACTCTGGAATTAGCATCCTAGCACCTGTGTTGGGTGGCTTACAAATGCCCATAAGTACAGCTCTAAAGAATCCAATGCCATCTTCCTGCCTTCGTGGGCATGCCCCCAATATGTTCACATACATTTATACAAACACACAAAGAGCTATGTAATGGTAACAGTGAATAAAGATCAATGTCTTAATGGCTTAAATGGCTCTATTTTTGTGCATTCAAACGGTGTTTCTCATAAAGAGAAAATTCTTGTTATCAATTCTGTGAAATTAGTTTGGACACTTTATCCTCATTAAGCTTAATCTATCCTTCTAGCAAGTAAAATTAAAATTAAAATGAATACCATAAAACTAATGTGCTAGTTTTTACTTTACCGTAATGTTTGTGGGTTTTTGTTTTGTTTTGTTTTTGTTTTCTTCTGCACCCTGAGACAGGGTTTCTCTGTAGCCTTGGCTGTCCTGGAACATCTCATTCACTGGCTGCTGAAACTGCAAGCATATAAAACTTCAAGCATGTGTAACTTCACAGAGATAAACAGCCACTTAAGTAGCAGGACATAAAACTAATGTAGGAAAGGACTACAACAGTAGCTGTGAACAATGGATTTGAATTCAAGGTAAAACTGGTGAATAACTTTACAGAAAGTAGTAAAGCACCAGTACAAAACATTCTAAGACAGTGAAGATATGACTGGAACTTAAAAAAACCCAACAACAAAGCCCCCCCCCAAAAAGAGGTGTGAGGTATACAGGGCTGGCTAGCAAGAGGATAATAAAAGCGCTTTGCTTTAACATCAGGAGAGAACCTACTCCACTTATAAAAAGACGTGGGACTCAACCATTTAAAGTCCTTAAGCTTAATCTTCCTGAGAGGCTGGACAAAACACTCACACAGGCTGTGTGGGTGAGTGTGTATGTGGGCTGGGGGGACACACCTCCACTCCCAGCACTGAGGAGACTGAGGCAACAGGATCACAAGCAGATGCGTGCCACAACTACATCAAAAGGACTCTGTCTCTAAAAGACAAAAACAAACAAAATGTAAAATACAGATATTTATAGAATCTGTCCACAGTAGATGGGAACATCAGGATAAAACTTCGAATGTTGTGTAAACACACACACACAAAAATCGTAACCAGCAGTTCTTGGGTGTGAAGGTGGCTCATGAATTTAATCCGAGCATTTGGGTGGCAGAAGCAGGTGGATCTCTGCATGGTCTACATAGCAAGTTCCAGGCCATTTAGACCCTGTCTCAAAAAAAAAAAAAAAAGACAGTTCCAATAAAGGCCAAATAACCAATCAAAACTTCACAACACTAAGGCAACTGTAGAATACAAGAATAAGCAAGCAACAAGGACCTAAACTAAAAAGATGGTGCAATGAGCTGGGGGAAACGCCTCAGCACTCCTGAGGCTGGAGGAGAAGGATCTTGAGTTTTAAGGCCAAGCTCGGCTACCTACACAGTGGAAGTTCTACGGCAGCTGTGCTACAGAGACTAAACACCCAGCCCCACCACCAACGAGGCAAGAAGCCAGCATGGAACAAACACTGCTAAACTCATCCTAAAATAAAACTTTAGTCATCTTCTAGATCAAGTGCAAATGTACTTCAGCATGTGCCAGCACTACATAACTATGAGAGACACGCCCTCTATGTTATGAAGCAGTCCGCACCTGTTACTGGTACAGTCACAACAGTCCCAGGTTTAAGATCACTTGTTCTAACTGTAACTAAACGTAATTAATATCAACCCTTTGACAGTTTTAACACATTTTTAGGGGCTTGTCAGATTGCTCAGTGGTTATGAGCACTTGTTGCTTTCGTAAAAAACCCAAGTTTCCTTTTCAGCACCCACAGGGCAACTTTAATCACCTGTAACTCCAGTTCCAGGCAATTGGACACCCTCTCTTCTGGCTTCCACAGGCATCAGGCACATGCACGGTACATATTCATACACACAGACAAAACACTCAAACATTACAATTTTGGCAAGGGCAAGAGGAAGCATGCCAAGGAACACATGGGGGTCAAAGGACAACTTGCACAAGTTGGTTCTCTCCTTCCACCACAGGGGATCAAACTCAGGCCAGCTGGCTTGATATGCGTCCTTTTACATACTAAACCATATTACTGCCACCAACAGCAACTTTCTGAAGACCTAAAATGCATGGACTCTATTCCCATTCTAACAAGTGTTTGGTTTACAAACACCACTTGTCAAAGGCATCTTACGTCAAAAATTAGGGATTGCCAAAACTTTTCTTTTTAAGTACATTGGTGTTTTGTCAGGTCCCCTGGAAGTGGAGTTACAGGCAGGTGTGAGCTGCCATGTGGGTGCTGGGCCCTGAACACAAGTTCTCTGAAAGAGCAGCCAGTGCTCTTGACCACTGAGCCATCTATCTTTCCAGCCCCTTCTTTCATCCTTTTTGTTGCTGTTGTTTTGGTTCGTTTTTAGTTTTTGAAGAGAGCATTTCTCTGTGTCGCCCTGGCTGTCCTAACTTACTCTCTAGACCAGGCTGGCCTCGAACTCACAGAGATCCACCCACCTCTGCTTCTTTAGTGCTGGGACTTAAGGAGTAGGCAGCCACTGTCTGGCTCTCCTTTCATTTTTTTTTTTAAGATTTATTTATTTATAATGTATTTGATGTTCTGCTTGCATGTGTGCCTGCACAACAGAAGAGGGCAACAGATCTCATTATACGTGATTGTGAGCCACCATGTGGTTGCTGGGAATTGAACTCAGGGCCCCTCGAACAGTCAGTGCTCTTAACCTCTAAGCCATCTCCTCCTTTCGTCTTTTTAAAGCTGCTCCCAAGAAAAGCAAGGCCATTATAGGTGCAGGAAGAGGCTGAGTCAGATCTGTCCACATTAAGGCAACATAACTGATGTGAATGATTTTACCCTCCCTGCCATGAGGAAGAATGCAGTTGAATTAACAATCTAACATTTTCAGTATGAGAAGACAGTCAATCTCGACATTTACACTATCAACAGTTACTGTAGTAGGGAAAGAATATTTCCCCTACTACAGTAAAAAGAACATACTACTCACCATCATTTAGAGCTTCAATGGCAGCCCCCTTCTTTTCATTTGCTTGATCCATCATCTCGTCAGTTATCTAAGAGGAAATTGAAGGTTATCTCAGAAATAGTGAAGCAATTATGACAAGTATGATTTTTTTTTTTTTAGACAGGGTTTCTCTGTGTAACCCTAGCTGTCCTGAACTCACTTGGTAGACCAGACTGGCCTCTAACTCACAGAGATCCACCTGCCTCTACCTCCCAGAGTGCTGGAATTAAAAGCGTGGGCCACTGCACCCGGCTTCGTATCTGGACTTTCTTAAGGGTGACAAGTCACTCACTATCCATATATTCATGCACTTATCTCCAGTACTGAAAAACTATAGAAATATCCTTACAATGAAAACTGGACTTACCCCAAAGAACCCAAACACCCTAACAAGTCCTACGCCCTCTTTCCCCTCTAATGTTCTGTCTCTCCTACCTGGTGCTTGGGTGTTGGAAGGAACCGGGGTAGAGAAGGGTGGTAGATATGAGAAACCAATAAAATAGAGCTAACAGGTAACTTTTTGTCTTGTTTTGTTTTTTTGAGACAGGGTTCCTCTGTGTAGCCTTGGCTGTCTTAACCTGCAGGTACTGACTAAGAAAATGCTCTCCCAAGCATTAAAAGTACACCTTTAACCCCAGTACTCAAGAGGCAGAGTAGGAGAATTTTTTAGTTCAAAGCCAACCTGGTCTACATGATGAATCCCAAAACTTTAACAGAACTACATAGCAAGACCCTGCCTTGTTTTTGGTGACAGAACAGGAGAAGGAAATGGAAATAATTTGTTAAGACTAAGAACAGAAAGAAAAGCTAGCTATCTTATATCTAACTAGAAAGTTCAATGAAACTGACAAGTCAACTCAATCTGTAAAACAAGACTCAAAAACCTCAAACAAAACAGATGTGGTAGTATTCACCTTAATCCCAGCGTTTAAGAGGTAGAGATAGAAGCAAAAACACCTCAACATCCAAGGCCACCTTGGTTACTGAGTTAAGACCCATAGGATTCAAAAACAAAAACAAAAAACCCACAAATTTTTTGTATACCACATAAAATTGCCTGAAACAGAAATCAAGCCTATAAAACAGTTTCCAAGATCACACAAGATTCCCAAAAACAAGAAAAAATAAAATTCTATTAAAGAAACAAAGTCTTCCAAGAAAATTTTATGTCACACATATAAAAAGGCTACGTATCTATGGGCAACCCAGGACATACAAATCAAAGAAAATGTGTATTTGTCTCACTGAGTCTGGCATATTTCACTTAATAGGATTTCCAGGTGGACCTCTTTTCCAGCAAACAATACAATTTCATTCTTCGTTATGGTTTAGTAAAAGGCTCATCGTAAGAGGTAGTGTTTCCCCAACTGCACTTAAACTTAATGCAACTCTAATCACATCTCCCTACCCCATCTCTCTCAACCCCAAAGGTGTGTGTGTGTGTGTGTGTGTGTGTGTGTGTGTGTGTGTGTGTGTG